TCAAGATAGAAATTGGCGACAGAGAAGGATTGGGAGCAGCATACTCGAACCTCGGAGCTTTGCTTTGTTCCTTTGACGAATATCAGAAGGCTAGAGAATATTTCGAGAAAGCTCATGCCATCGCAATAGAAATTGGCGACAGAAATGTAGAAGAAGAAACATACCGGAACCTCGGATGTATATTTTATTCCCTTGGCGAATATGAGAAGGCTGAAGAATATTATGAGAAAGCACTTGCCATCGCAATAGAAAATGGCGATAGTAGGGGAGAAGGCTCAGGACACTTGAATCTGGGAAGTGTTTACCATCAGCTTCATAAAAACTTGCAAGCTAAAGAACATTGTGAGAAAGCAGTCGGCATCAGTATTGCAATTGGTGACAGAGAAATAGAAGCCTTGGCTACTCTATGTTTGGCAAGTCTCTTTAATTCTGTGAATGACAGTCAGAAGGCAAAAGAACATTGTGAGAAGGCGCTTACCATGAGCAGAGAATGTGGCGAAAGAGAGCAGGAAGCAATACTTTACCTAAACCTTGGAAATCTATTCCAATCATTTGGTCAATATGGCAAGGCAGCAGTTTATTTGCAGAAAGCTTGCTCCGTAAGCAGCCGAATTGGACACAAAATGATCGAGTTTCGTAGCCTTCTCAGCCTTACAGCGTTAAAGATATTGCAGTCGGAGGCTGTGGAGGCAAAGCATTATCTTCTTAAATGTGTTGGAAAATTTGAACAAATCAGAACTCTTCAGAAAGGAAACAGTGAATTTCAAATGACTTTGTTAGAGACACACGGTACTTTTCCCTATAAGTTACTCACACACTTGCTTTGCTATGATGGAAAGTTTCGAGATGCTCTCTATGTTGAGGAGCTGGGACGAGCAAGAGTCCTCTCAGAACTCATGGCAGACAAGTACTCCGTGGAAAGCCATATCTCAGCTGATCCTCAATCATGGTCCGGAATTGAAAACATCATGAAAAGAGAAAGTAACTCTGTTTTTTTGTACATTTCGTATAGAGATAGGCAAGTTCTTCTCTGGGTATTGAAAGCAAATGGAGACGTTTGCTTTCGAAAAACAGACGAAGTGAAAGTAGAGACTCTTATTGCTGAGAAAGTTTGCGAAGTGGAAGGAGTTTTCAAAAAGAGCGCCGCCTGCTTTGGTGTTCTACCCGCAGCGAACTGCGAAGATCGATCGTTGGATGAAAACGTGGCGACATGTCTTCACGAAGAGAGCCAAGCAAATCTGCGAGGTGACGAAACCAAAGATACCGGAAGAAGTCATCATTTGTGCTACCAATGGATCGTCGCACCTGTGGCAGATTTACTGACGGAGCCCGAAATCATCATTGTACCGGATTGTTTCTCGTACCGAGTCCCATTTGCTGCCTTGCGTGATGAACCAGCCGGAAGGTATTTATCGGAGAAGTACAGAATACGCATCGTCCCTTCATTGACGACTCTCCGCCTCATTCAAGAATGTCCAGCAGACTATCACATTCAAACTGGTGCGCTGGTTGTGGGTGATCCTACGGTTGGCAAGGTGCATTACAATGGACGTCTCACTGACATTATACCATTATTCTGTGCAAGTAAGGAAGCAGAGATAGTTGGTCAGCTGCTGGGCGTTCAGCCTTTGTTAGGAAGTCGCGCAACAAAGCAGGCGGTTCTTGAAGCAATTCCTTCAGTGAGTCTGATACATCTCGCCGCACATGGACATGCCGAAAGAGGAGAGATTGCCCTCTCTCCTCAACGTTCCGCTAACAGTATTCCACAAGAGGAGGACTACCTCCTGACAATGTCCGACATTGAAGGAGTTCAAGTGCGAGCTAAACTGGTAGTACTTAGCTGTTGTCACAGTGGGCGTGGATTGATTAAAAAGGAAGGAGTTATTGGAATCGCTCGAGCATTCTTAGCATCCGGTGCACGTTCAGTGTTGGTAGCATCGTGGGCTGTGGAAGACGAAGCAACGGGGAACCTTATGAAACATTTCTATAAACACCTTTTTCGTGGAGAAAGTGCCAGTGAATCTCTTTACCAGGCCATTCAATGGTTGAGAAGCAATGGTTTCCCCAAACCTCGCCAATGGGCCCCGTTCGTGCTGATGGGGGATAACGTGACATTTGATTTTATGGAAAAAGAGTAAGTCTGATCATAATGAGCAATTTTCTACCATAAACCGATTAGTACACTCTACTTGTTCACTTTACCAACTTGCGTTCTCTTTTTTTTCGTTTTATTCTTGTCTTTGTCTTTCATCCATAAAATGTCAAGAAAGAGAAATTAATTTTATTTAGTTCTCGGAGCTAGAAGATTTTCACGGTAGGCCTTCTAAAACTGGCTTGAATTAGCTTTTCTTTTGTATTCAATATACTCAGAAGTAATTAATCAAGGTCGATACGATGCTGGACGCTCTGACGATGGAATTAACTTAAGAAGCTGAAAAATCAACAAAAATAACGATAAATTGACGACCCTAAAGTCACTTTCGTATCAAGCATGGTATGTTCGATAAGTTTAGATAATCAGAGCCAATGACATTGAAGTAGAAAGTAATTTCTTTTATTGGAAATATGTTTCATTGTTGAAATATTAACAAATTTAATTTTTTTTAGGAAAGAAGAACTCGAGGAGGAGGACAAGGAGGCGGAGAAGAAACAGAGTGATTACTGATCCTACACAAAGATTTCTTCTTCCTGTACATTGTCTTTCAATGGACACTGGTATTACTTTGCGAAGATATTTTTAGTTTTTTTATAGTAAAGTAGTAGATTTTGCGTGCTTTTGTAGGTAGGACTTAATCGAAAGCCAGTGACAATGAAACCTGCAATTAAGCCGTTTGATCTATTAAGAAAACTTTCAATAGTGAACTACAATATATTGAGATGCGAAAACTGAACGCAGGAAATTAGCTGAATGTATAAAATGCGAGAATGTTAGCAAGTGTCGTCAAAACTCAAAACTAATACTTGATTTAAATCATTACGATCCTGTTTTCAATTCTCCCGTTGAATGTACGCGTGATCATTTAAGAGTGATAATAACTGTTCTCAGGTGCAGGAGATGATAACATAACAAACTAACAGAAGAGGGAACAAAAAGTGCCAAGATACTGAACAATCAAATAGAAAAGACAAGATAATTACGTAAAAATCAGACAGAGAAGAGAATTACCGCAAAAACCAAACAGTGTTGGGAACAAGGCGCTACATAGTAATGTAAATGTTAAATGGGGAAGGGAACAAACAGAGTACAATATACTAAAAAAACGTATTAACAAATAGAGAAGAAGAGAAACGGTGAGCGAATTATTGAGATAAAATTAGGAGAAAACATTGCGCGAGATACTAACGCCAAACAGAAGAGTGCAAACAGTTTGTAGGATATGAACGTGACAATCAGCCAGAATTAACTCTTTAACTCCCAAGATCTCATTAGTAATTCTCCCTACTCTCTGTCATAAAATACTTATGATTTCAAATTGGAGAATTTAGTATTGGATCAACTTGTAGTCCCCTAATTGAGATTTCTTCTTTATTCTCCTCACTTGTCTGCTTGATTCTGTGTTGATATTGTAAGGAGAAATTATGTCTTGTCACTGATGGGAGTTAAAGGGTTAAGGAAAAAAACAGAGGGCTAGGTTCTAACGTAGGAAACAAATATAAATTAGAACTAACAGTGAGGTAGATGTTAACTTGGAAACAAAACAGAGACGAAACAAGCATTGTGCAAGATTCTAACGAAATATTTAATCGGAGGAGACAAGAGAACGAGCTATGCGCAAGATACAACTAAACAAAACTACCAAACATAGAAATGAAAAAAACCGTGCGCAAACTAATCGCAACAAAGTAAAAAGAAGAAACGGTGAACTGGACATTAACAAAAACGTCAGATTGGAAAGAAAAGGAACATTTATTGCATGAAACATTGAAGTAAAAGTCAATAAGAAGAAGTAAAGAAACAGTGCGCATGACACTGGTGAGACAAACAGTAAAATCATAGGCATGCAATGCATGCAAGAGTTACTTCTTTAAATGGGTGAGTTGAGGTGGGACACTGTGTAACTGATGTTTTCATTTTTGTAAAAGAAAAAGAGCCTTAAAATTAAAAAGAACGAAAATATAGCATTACTTTACTTAAGAGAGAGAGAAAAAAACCCTCCCGATTTATCTGAAATAAACTGACACATAAGTATTTCTGGTTGTATTGTCAATGTTGTATTAATTGTAAAGAAAAATATACTTACTTTACCTTACCCCTTTAACCGCTTGGAGTGACCAGCATCTAATTTCTCCTTACAATAAATCCCTGAATCACACATTAAGGCCACGAAAATAAAGGAAATGCTTACCAACCAATGAAGCTCTTGATTGTTCAAAAACTTCTCCTTGTC